AGGTTGGTCTGGTCCAGTCTGCAACGGCCCGAGGTGAATCGGCAGAAGATCTTTCGTCTTCCAGGTTTGGGTGGGATCACCGTAGATGGAGGAGTCGCTCGAGGCAAACGAACCGGAGAAGTCAAGCAGGTTATTGGGTCTGATTGGGCAACTGATCCCTTGGTCATCGATGGCCTTTGGGTACCAGTATTCGGAGTAGCTGTATTCGGCAGGGCGTGTCCGGCTTTATTCCCGCTATTATCGCCGGTGTCGTGTGGGTCACTCCGAAGAGCGGCGGTAGTTGTATGTGTCAGTGCTAATATGGAGATATGGAGATATCGAGATATATTACGCCTCTTGGCTGCCCCTTGTTAATTGGAGCCAGCATTTCATACGGCCTGTCGCCGTCAAATTCGATAACGAGGGGTCAAGCGACGAGAAGAGAGAATAGGCTTGTTATGAGACAGGGAATCACTGCTCGATCCTATACTTATTCGGCGCAACTCTAATTCGCCAGGTACGGCGCGGCGACACGTCAGTATCGTAGCTCAAGTCGCCACACTCAAACTAGCCTGAGCCGAACTCTATCTGCAGTTGGTTGAAACCGGTCTCGAACCTAGACCGCTCACGATCCGACGGCCGGACCGAACCTCGGTCATGACACACATCTGCGATAAAGGAGGACAATCGAATCAGAGGTTGCCCAAATCAGTGCTCGCACAAATTAAACGTCGCTTCTTCGCATTTCTGAGTCGTGGTTTTCTATAGAGTTGATCGTTACTTCATAAGCTCATCTCGGATGCGTTTTGCTTCCGCCAAGTCTATGACATCCTCGCTCTTGAGAACTGTCGCTTCGCCAGGTGCCTGAGTTATTCCAAGATTGCTGCTGGTAAAGGTTCGGAAAGAATAGGGCCCGGCCCTGTTGTGTAAGTAGCGATCCAACGTCTTGAACGGTGATGTCCTGGCTTGGTTCTGCAAATGTGCGGGATATCGATTTGTTATATCATCGCAATGTAGACAGAATCATATGATTTCCTTACCCGGAGTAGGTGGCCAAAAACGATCTCGAAATGTCTCACCTCTACAGCATGTTCACTACTACGCCTCCGTGGATAGCTGCAGGAGCTCAGGTACCTAGAAAATGAAGGAAATCCAAGGGCCGCAATTAAAATGTCATACTGGAATGTAGTCGTATTGCTTGTGACGTGGCGTATATACGAGCCCTTCACTATTGGACTTCGTCCGAAACGCAAGACGAGAGTCCGTGATGTTGAAATTGTCGTAATAGAAGAGAGCAGTGGCACAATCATGTTTATTGAGCTGTGCCTCGATATGCCACGATCCGCCGTCGTAGAAGTGGTTCTCAGGTGTTAGGTAGATATTGGCTAACTTGACGATTACCTAGATACGAGATGTTCCGTTAAGTACCCCCGGCGACTTGACATCCTCTAGTGTAAGACGAGTGTGCCTCGACTCTCGTATCTCAACCCCTTTCTGCCTTTGCACTGGGAGGTTGCAGCGGATGGGTGTTATCGAACCACTCCCTGTCCAACTGGCCCCGGGGAGACTTCTTGTGGTGCTCACCATAGGCTTTGTCGCCTCCGCGCTCAGATTCGCCTTCATTGATGGGCCTGTTGGTAGAAACACATTCATACCATGGGGTTATCATCGCCACCGCTGCAAATCTCTGGAGTGGTGCAATGGGGGCTAACACTCTCTGTCTATAAACGTTGGGTCAACGACAAGATTGTAGCCAGGATAAACACATGCCGCATCTGCCATGGCACTAGTAAAAATTGTCATGTCTTCGGTAACTAGCCCCATCCATTGCCATGGCCTCACTCTTCCACTTTGCCGCAATTTCCGGGGTTCGGACCTTCCGCCACCACTCAGGTTTGTCTGTGAGCTCATCAAGCATCTTAAGCATGCAGACTTCCCTCACATGTAGTGTAGTTGCGGTCTAGTCACGGTCCTTACCTCCCATTAAGATAATAAACCGCCTTTTCGCTGGCGGCAAGAGGTGTATAGGCAGGCGTATCACGGACGCCAGAGGCTATCCTCAAGCTGCAAGGGGTGATTATCGGCTGAGACTCTTATAAATAATATATGAGAGGGCTGCGTAGTAATAAGTTCGACGACACCCGTCTCGAAGAGCAGAAACGGAGACCCCCCGGTGTCGTTGGGCATGGAGCGAAGCCGTACCGCCTGGAGGACCTCATCAACTCCGGGCCGAGCCCAACCGAGTACAGCGTAGAGGTAAGAACACGGATATCCAAGCACAGACGTATCTCAAAATTTAAGATCTCCAGCAAAAAATCCCACTTGTAAGGCCCCCGCGCGCCCCACACCACGCTATCGAGCCCTCCCGACGCGGACAACACCTCCGTACGTCAGAACACTAACCTCTACCCAAGCGTACGCTATCATCCCCATAGACATACAGGATGTCGCGAGGCCAATATCCAAAACGCATACTACATTGGAACAACTTGGGGAAACGGTTCGCGTCATATACGAGCAGGCTATTAGCGAGCTCGTAGATATCACAGCAGATGCTCAATAGGCGATCAGGGACGCCGCTCTAAAACAGCACGGCCTAGGGCTGAACGACGTTAATATCTATACTACAAGTGCACGGTACGAGGCAGACGAAACGGTCGATGTCCCCAAAGTGCCAGGGGGCGTAATGGTGACTACCGCGGGGTACACCACCGACGTCCCGGCAAGTGGGGGATCCCGGCGTCTATCAAATCGCAGGAACGCCGTCGACGCGAGTTGGCGGCGGACTTGGTCGATTATATCACGTACATCTTTGAGGGGTCTTACGGTGATCTAGCTGATATTCGAAGAAAGATAAACGGAGTCCAGTCATCTTACTTGCTGCCGGTCACAAGAATAACAGGTGAGGTGGATAGAGCTATAGTGGTCGCACGTATTTGCCGCAAATCTTATGCGGCTACGATTGAGCCCGCTGCCTGGGTCCGGAAGTGCTTCCCGGGGCTACCCAGCCTTACGATACGTAGCCCGATGTTCCTCCGGACATACGAAACGATGCAAGCGATGATGGAGGCATTCGAGGGCGGCGAGCACGTGTTGGACGTCTGGCGCCTGGGTCGCGGACGTTGAAAATCAACGCATCGATCAGGACATACGAGTTGTGCAGACAGGGCGCTGCGAAAAAGCAGAACGATGGCATAGACATCCTTGCCACTCCTGTGACGCCCAGAACCTATGATTTACCATGTCAGAGGTGCCGGAGCTAAACATGCGGGTGTGCCATGCCTGATCCAAGAGGCCGGTGCAGGAGCTCAGGCAAGACGACGACAACGGCCCAATGACACGGAGCGGGCCGCTCCATGAGATAACAGTACGTGTAATGAAAGACCCTAAACGGGCGGGAAGATCACTAGAGAAAATCCAGGAATCGGTAGGAGAACGAAGGGTCCTTGTTCATCTGATGTGCGAGGAGCTGGCGAAACAGCAAATCCCGGGCGGGTGGCGGGACCGGTACTGCTTTCGAGACGTGCGCGATGTCGAGGGTGAGAGAGGCGCGAAGCTATCACTTTTTAACCCGAGCTAACCGATATGCATAGTACATTGCCACTTTATTGTACGGGGGGCGCACCGAAGCCCCTTTAATCCTTCCGTGGATGCTGTCTGTCTCGTTCCGAGAGACGGGCTTAGCACCGATAGACACGTTCCCGGCCGGCAACATTGCTGTGACTATTTGGTCATTGAATTCAATGAAGCATATAAACCCTACGTTCATAATAAAGGCCTTGGCCCAGTACCGACGTTCCGACACACGCGCCGGGCTGGCCAACACGTTCAAAGGCTTGCTAACAGCGCATATCCTCAGGCAAATGACTGCCAACCCTAAACGCACAACAGAAAAAGGGGGATGCGCTCTCAGTCAGGCGTGGGTATCAGGCCGCCTACCTAGGATGCCGATACCTAGCGACGGGCTTTTCAGTCTCGGAATTCCGCAGAGTCGGCTTCAACAACACGGTTCGTAGTGGCGGCCGGACTTGCACGAATGGCTCGTAGACCAGTACGACCAGATCATCTGCCTGCCATGTACGGTTTCGAAAAATAACAGCGCGCTCTTTGGTCGATCCAAGGCGAGGACGGGGACTGGGTACCTTATCCCTTCGATCCCGAAAGCAGGCCTTTCGTTGTTTGGAGTTGGTGGTATTGGCAATGTTGGCTCGATGCCCGGTATTACCGGAGGACCTCCCAACAATGCAACAGGAATTACGCCATGGACTGCGATGTCTATATATACCAGCTGTGCCTCATGCATGGTCATTTCGTGAAGCTCCAAGCGGGCCGTGAGCGGCTCCGTGCAGCACGCATAACTGAGGCCCGTCTTTCAAGTTATTCCTGGGCACAAGGCGGCGCTGACTTTGAACGCGGCGAAGGCGAATGACCCGAGTATCCCCGGAAGGCCGCCTATTCCGCGGGACGCTCTGGGGATCTGTGCGGTACCGTGGATCGCGGCTGCGAACTCGGCGAGCATGGCCCACAGACACCATGATGCTCCAATGACGGCCGGGTTCGGCGGACAGCAGTGGCTACGAAACCAGCGCCGGGACTTCTAAATGAGCCAGTGTAACATGTTCCTAGACACCCGAGCTTGGAATTACGGGATCTCGGATTTCTCGGAAGACCTCTGGCCCAAAATTGCCTAGCTCCTCGACTGCTTGCGTGAGGACGATGAGAAGATTTGGCCTCCGGGGGGTGTAGATTGGGCGTTTTTTAATAGTGGCTTAAGTTTTATACGGGGTGGGGCCGGAGGAATTTTTTCTGATACGGTAGACTTGGAGGAAGACGGGGAAGAGGGATTAGTTAATGGAGAACTCGAAAAGCTTGCTGAGGTTAAGGCCAATGAACTTGAACTCGGACGATTAGGCTCCAGTAGCGTCCTAAATAAGGAAAACCAACACCTGCTATATCGGTTTATAGAGTATATTGCTTCGGGTTTTTCCCCAGCCTGGAATTATCTACTCCGATAACTCGGCGGACCCATGGCTTAGCTGGTAAAGCGTCGGATTCCAGTCCCGAAGATCACCCGTTCGAATCGGGTTGGGTTCATGCCTTATTTTTTCTTAGGCCTAATTCGTCCTATTTTACTTGTCCATTAGGCACCACTCCCCCTCCAACTAAAACAGTTGCAATCTCTGCGGAACTGTGTGGCGTACGCGCACCACGCTCCTTGAGGCCAACCCATCGCGGCTGGCTGGCTGGCTGACTAATTAGTAGTGCTGGCTGCCCAAATAGGAGACAAGTGCCTATTTGGGCCACAGCGCAGAATTGTTCACCATAGTTAACGCTTCGTTTCGCTCTAGTCATTCTTCCTTCCGTTAAAAACGAGGGCGTTGAGTCGACCACGCGCTTGGCGAATCTGGCAATAAAATTATCATCGGATGGAAATGACTGTTGATCTAGGGTCTAGTGTCTGGAAACCCTGTGCCATGTCGTAAAAGCTTTCAACAGTCTAAGGGATGAGTCCTTCAACATTTTGTTACTGTCGCACGGAGGGCTCTCTCGCAACTACAACATAAGATAATGTGAGGATTGTCTCTATTCATGTATTGTCGGGCATGCTTTCCGATATTTTGGAGTGGGGAAGGCTAGAGAGCTGTCTGGGAACGGTTCCGTCTGTCATAGTTCTCACTGCTGGTATTGCACAAGCAAGAAAGCCCCTATCTACATGGCAGAGATTGTACTGCTAGTATATATATGTCTGGCCAATGGCACTGGTTTCCAAGGTTATTCCATAGCGTTCTGTGACACCGTCCTATTTGACTCAGCTTTCCCACAAGCAAACACATACTCCTGCGGGGTCAGGGGGTACCTGGCCAGGGCATTGTTACGAGAAAACAGCTGTCGCTCTCGCTCATCACCTATTGACTCGGCCTTAGGTTCAGGAGAATTCTTGCGCCTAGGCACCATGTAGGACCAAGACGGGTAGTACGGGTAAACTTATTCGGCCCTCTAAATGGCATATGCTTACTAGATGGGTTTTAGATCGTTGTTATAATTAATTTTAGAATAGGATGCGAGATCCGCTAAATAATAGCCCGGTAGGTCGTACAGATTTGCTACTATTAGGCATACAGCGAGTATAAAATGTTAAGGGAGATCTAGATAGACCTATAGGTGCATTTAAACCTAAGGTTACCTCTATCCTTAAAAAACTCTGTTGTTCAAATACCCTTGCATGGATACAGCCGTAAACAGCATCCAGGACTCAAGCCAAATGGTCAGGAGAAGCTACAATAAGCCACGAATGTGGCAATATTAGTAGGAGTAGTGCTCATCCATTAAGCCCAAGTTGTTGTCTAGGTAGGCATAGTAAGATTATTGGCCCCCTCACGGGCCACCTTCTTCCTAGTGGGTTTTACCCTTGTATATAAGCGGAAAAAAATACTAAAAAGAAACGGTTAGCGTATTAAATTATAATAAAAATAAGGCTAAAAATAAAAAAATAAAATAAAAATAGGGTTGCTATTTATTTATTTTTTAATAATTAAAATAAATAAAAAGTATAAATATTTAATATTATATTAATATTTTTATATAAAAATTACTAGTAAATTTATTAACTATATAAATTTTTTTAAGCTTACTTATTTAAAAGCTGGTTTTTTTGCTAATAAAATAAAGGTATAAAATTAAAATAAATATTAAAATTTATATTTTTATCTTAAGTTATATAAAGTTAAACCTATTTAATTTTATTATTTTTATTTATTAAAATATCGTTAATAAATATAAATATTTACTACTATTAAATATTTAATTTTTATATATAAATTTACACGTAAAATTAATAAAAATTATTGTAATAAATTTAATTAAATAAATTATTATTTAAATTATTTATTTTAATTTTATACCCTTATTTTATTAGCAAAACAACTAGCTTTTTAATTGTGATAGGTATAACATAGGGAAAAGGCACACACACCTAATTTACCTAGTATTAGGAACTAATATTCTACTTAAAGAAAGAAAGAAAGGAAAGTCTAAAATACAAGTGGGCGTAGCCAAATATATCTACATTTGTGTGTAGGCGAAGGTATTCACTACAGCCTTAGTGAATACGGTTGTGCCAGTGAATGAAGCTGTTGTTGGATTTGGGGCTATCGCCACTGGGAAAATGGAGCTTCTCGTGTACCCCTGGTAGGGGGTGTCACACGTGACTAATCAGGATCATGGTGGAACCATTAAATACACACCTATTTTGTATGAGGGATTAATGTAGATCCAATGCTACAATACACACACGTTTGAGAGCGCCTGTCACAGCCATTGGCAAGCTCTACACCCAAGCGCAAAATCTGACAGCTGTCAGCCCCACCTGCACACCTAGCCACACACCCTAGCCACACACAGACCGGTGTGGGTCTGTGACATTGATACAGACCGCCAGGAGGTCTAGGCTGTAGATAGAGGCGTTGCCAGTAGGGGCAGCCCCGCAGGGCTGCCACCTGGCAACGACCGTTAGTTAGCAGCCACCTGGCACACAGAGTGGGCTCGCAAACATATCCACTTCGTGGATCTGTTTGCGAGACACCCTTTCCTTTCCTTTTAATCACGCTTTTACTTTACTATTTAAACTATCTCTCTCACTTTTAAATAAATAAGCTTAAAAAAATTTATATAGTTAATAAATTTACTAGTAATTTTTATATAAAAATATTAATATAATATTAAATATTTATACTTTTTATTAAATTTAATTATTAAAAAAAACTAAATTATAAACTTATTTTATTTTTATTTTTTACTATTAGTTTTATTAATTATAACTTTTAATATATTAACTTTTTATTTTTAATATTTTTTCCGCTTTTATTTTATTAATATTTAATATATTATTTAACCTTTTAATTTTTTATTTATTTTAATTATTAAAAAATAAATAAATAACAACCCTATTTTTATTTTATTTTTTTATTTTTAGCCTTATTTTTATTATAATTTAATACACCAACCGTTTTTTTTTAGTATATTTTTCCGCTTATATATAAGGGTAAAACCCACTAGGGAGGAGGTGGCCCGTGAGGCGGCCAATAATCTTACCATGGGGGCTGAAACGTATGATATCACATCTTACCTTAGGCTGATTGATAAATTAGCAGGGAGGCTGACACGCGTTAACCAAGTATGACAAGGGCTTGATCTCAAGGGCTTGGAACAGGGGTTTATATTCAACTAATAATTCTTTTTGGGTCTAGAGGAGTCTATGCTTCCCTTTTTTGTCCCCAATGTAACCTCGTTTCTATCCCTCTATTTATATCTAGGCCCTTAGCGAATATTTTCTATTACCCCTCTTGGTGGGCTCCGATTCTAGGCTTCATTGCAGAGGCTGTGATAGTTGCCGACCAATAACTGGTTCAAGGCTGAGACATGTGGCTTGACAGGTCTTGACGGGTTATGGCGGTCCTTGCCGTGTGACACTAAGCATATAATTATACATTGAGGCTCAGCTCTGTTTGCGCTGTGCAGGTTTGGAACATGGAATATTGTTCCTTTGCCCTTTTTCTTCTGGCCAGCTCCCATGGCTTCTTTCAATCTGATAACTAATGGAACTTGTATTCTAATTCCACGCTTCATTTTTGTTGCGAATTTCAAAAGGAGGACGCCATGTTAAATTTGCTTTCAGTTGCTCTGACAGGGCAATACATCTTGCAAATCGCGTCATTTACAACGGCTACGCAGCAGCAGTGTTACTACCCAAAAGGCAATCCTTCGGGAGGCGACATTCCGTGTGGTGACGGTGTAAACCACAGTCACTGCTGTGCATTTGATGCAATATGCTTGTCGAACAAGCTTTGTCTTCACTCCACTGGCTCATTCGAGCTCTCACGTGGTAGCTGCACAGACCCAACTTGGCAGTCACCGAAATGTCCCAGCCACTGTACAAACGGTGCGTCGGCCCCTTGTCAAGTTTCAAGATCATTTAACTTACGAAGCATTGTAGTCAGTATCGACATGGGGATTCCACTCTCTCTACATAGATTTGGTGACTCCATGCCATCCCAATATTGCTGTGGTACAACTATTCTGAAAAGCGGAGGCTTATCTTTGGGATGTGCTTGGAGTCCGCAACCATTTACACTGGAGCCGGGTGACATAATTGCTGACAGAGGGGTCTTGAAAAATTACATTCTGGCGGGATCTGGAAAATCCAACTCAACCTGCCCGGCAAATCTGACCTGCCCGATGGACACGAGTCCAAATGCTGTTCTTGCTGTAGGTGCCGGTGTCGGAATACCTCTTGGCATATTCTTAATTGCGACATTGTCATGGGCCTTGTGGGAGAGATACCATAGGCGAAGTGAGGCAGCAAAAGCACGACTCCTGCAGGCGCCTGTACAACTCGGAAAAAAGTCGGATCCATTCGGGCGTGAAACCCGAACCTTTCATCCTCAGGCTCCCAACCAGATAACTGAGTTGAGACATGAAAGAGAACCTGTTGAAATGGATTAAGTTGTCTTGAATCCTGTACCATATCTGTATTTTCGAATTGAAAGCTTGGGTGCCCCTTAATTTGCTAACGTTAGGTTAGTGGCAGAGTTAGTGGCTCCAAAGTGATATATAGACCTTTTTGCAGCTAGGGGAGTAGTAGTTAGGGCTCAATTGAACGACCAATTGATTACCGAACCTCCTAAATCAAGGGGCCTACACATATACATACACAAATACTACTGCAGCTACCCTACCGGGTAACTGGAAGTTAGCTCCTGGCGGTTAACGCGTTGTTAGGAGCTTGTTGATCTCTTAGCGGTAAGTGTGGGTATTAATTTTATTGTTGCGCTATAGGTTTAAGAACACCTCCCTACTTAGCTTCTATCTTCGGACATGAGTTATCACAAGATGTGACGCCTAGGTTGCAAAAATATTCCGGAGAAAGGAGACTAAATTGTGCGGTGCCTGCAGGCTCGAATGCCCGATGACCTCCTTTTTCACGTTAGACTAGCTAATAGGACTCCGCCATGACATTTTAATATCGACCCCAGGGCTGACTATGCTAGGGAATTTGTTGAAAGCCGTTGGGTAGGCCACCCATCTTGTTAGTCTTC